TGGTATTGTCTGAAATGCACGCGGAAACGATCGAGCAGTTGATGAGCCTTCCATGGAGAGCGGTAGTGTTACGATACTTCGAAGAAGAAATGAGAACCACGCCGAAGATACACGCACTGATAGCAATACCCTATGTGAGAACAGAGTTACAACTGAGGTTCGCTTGGTGCATGATTGGACTGACTCGCGGGAATATGATTTGGAAGAAAAGAAAAGGTGTTCTTAATGACGAGTGTGAGGGATCTGATGACCCAAAAAGGAGCAGCAGTAGAGTGCGCGAAACGGAGAGACGCTCTCTGATTCGTTCGATTTCTGATAGAACAAAGTTAAGTGCCAGCATTTAAAACTTGCGTCAAGATGCTAAGAGAAGGCGATGAACGAGCGAAAGCTTTGCTCTTGCTAGCACTTTTGGGCATATATCAGAGCAAACCAATGCGAGTGAATATGAAAGAACCCGTGGAACTAGAACCGATGAAGAAAATAGACGAAATAAGGAGGTTCTCAAACAAGGAGCTGAGGCTCTCGAAAGAATCTATGGGAGCACTGCCGAGATCCAGTGAATACTGGGAACCGATCAGGAAGAAATCATACAGTTACGTATCCGGAATCATAGGGATGGCGTACAACCCTTTTCTAAATGAAGACATACGCGATTGCTTCTTTGATTACGAGCAAGCAGTGTTGCTAAGATTCTGGAAGTCGAGAATTGAAACAAAAAGAAGCGCTGCTAATCTGCAGACCAAGCTGGGACTAGTCTTGGAGAAAAAGGTGACTGCACCTTTGGTGCCAAAATCGGACGACCGAGTGGAGTTTGGATTGGGATTCTGGGACGAACTACTGAGAACGAGCATAATGGTGGTATGGGAACTGATGAATGCTGATTCGATACTACGTGCGACACAAGACGTGCAGAGGGAACTGAACTCAGACTCTAACTTGCGTGGCCTGAACATCATCTATAATTTGATGACGACAGCCTCTAAGAGCAACGGAGAAGACAAAGTAGAGTTGCCTGGCTGGGACCAGAGGACTGGGTCACACTTGGTAGTTGTCTGACAGCAGTCTGTGGGCTGGAAGATCACATCTGTGGAGGTCTGGATTGCGTAAAGACCCTGGAGAAACAACACAAGCAATTGACGATATTGTTTGGGAACATTGTGATGAAGGCGAAAGCCGAAACGGAACTGATTGCAGATTGCCATGGAGGAACCGAGGTGAATCTAGTGACTGCACTAGGATTATACAGCATGTTTGGTTCCTTAGAGTCACTGTTGAATCTCGAATAAAAGCATGAGATGGCTACGACCATCAGTGTAGAAGTGTTTCCGGGAGTGTTGCAAATCGAGCAGAAGTATATTGGAAAGTGGAGAGAAGCGATCCAGGCGGAAATGAACATCCGGCATTGTGAAGATTATCGTAGACTGACGGGAGCAAGATATTTAGTGGGATCAACTCTAGCTCAAATGTGCAAGAGCAGATAACCAGTGAATTTCGCAGCGGTGGATGTGAAAAGTACGAGAACGATCGTGGATCAAGCCTTCTCAGTGCCAAAATGCGTAAGACTAACAAGAATGTCAGAAAAATCTTACGAGTTACTGTGCAAAATATTCTCAGCAGTTCCGGAGAGAACCAAAGGGGAGTTAGAATCGATACTGGGAAAGAAGTTCATGGGATACGCCAGTGGAAACTTCAGCGACTTTGAAAGACAAAAGCAGAAAGGATCAACAGTGACGGATTACAAAGCAGTAGATGAGAATGATGAAGTCCACTGAGTGATGATGGAAGTAGAACCACTACTGGAAGCTTCGGGAGAACGTAATTGGAGGAGCATCATGTCAACACATGATGAGTTCCCCTGCCAATGCTTGCTGCAAACATGGTGGTACCCCGGGAGTAGTAATCTGGTGTTGATCTGGAACTGTGGAGAGCTGCTCTCCATGGGCTTACCAGATTCCTCACAGCCCATAACGATAGTGTTAGTGGGAGTTATGATGGCGATACGATGGCTGGAAGCTCATGCAAAAGAGAACAGTAGACAGGAGGCGCCGACGAAAGAACAGTTACAGGAATTTGGTTGTCTAAAAGTTTTAGATCTTTTTGAGACAATGTGCAGAATCTTGAACATTCCGATGGAAGTGAAAAAGAAATGGGCCAGAAGACGACTGATGCCATGGTTTAGAGCCAACATGACTGCATGGTTATACGAATATGCTAAGAAACATATGTCGAAGCACAGCAGAGTTTACAGTGCGTATCAGCTGGTCATTGGAGCAGGAGCTTTTAAGCGAGCTTTTGTAACTCATCGGAAAACAGTAACCACCGCAGTGAAGAGAACTTCTAGGACAAGTGAATGTGATGGAAGTGAATGATATTTTGTTTCTCACAACAAACTCAAATGAGAAACGGAGCAACTAAGTTTGCAATTGAAACTGGAAAGAAAACATTTTGTTGACTTTTGAAGATTAGAGAATTTGTTGCATTTATAAATTTGCATTATGGTTTTAGTTAGTGGCTTTAGAGACACTTACTATTTATTTAGAGTGGCTTGAGTGAAGAATATATTAGAAAATTCCAGCCTGCATGATTGTTTTTAATCAACTAGGACGACTGATCACTTAATGGTGACATGAAAGGCTTGGGTAATCTCTTGAAGAAGGAGATTATTTCATTGTTCCTTCTAACCACCGATTTCCTTTATTTTAATAATCAGGGCCATTAACAACTAAATTTCCGAAGGGAAAAAGCATAGTAGGATAATTTTAGTTTGTGGGTTGGCAGGAATGTCCTGCGTCCCTACATTTTTTAAACCTAGGAGAAAAAGATTTAAATCGGGCATAGACTTTGGAAATTAAGTATATCCTCGAAAATGCAGGTTGGTGAAAAAATTTGGAAGGCTATAGTAGTGTAGTATGATGCCATTTATATTCTGCAGTGAGTCGATATGACGTGGCTAAAAGTGACTTTATGCATCTTATAAATTCTGTTCGATGGCACTGTACCATTTCGATGAAGACTACGAGACTCAATGAGGAAATGACCGGGCTGTCCGTGGAGTAAGTGGCATTCGACCAGAATGTACAAAATTGCAGTTTCGCAATCGATTTTTTATTGATCAGAAAAAGATCATCTACCCAGGAAGAATGATGTTTTTAATGGATTAGTATTTAGCAGCGTTATTTGAACGATTAGAAGAATCGGGAAGGATTGGTTTTAACTGACATGCTAAGTTTTAAAATTTCGATTTGGACGTGAACGACACGTAACCTTTTATATTTTGCACGCACTGAAACGGCGAAACACAACAATAGTCGCAGTGAAAACAACTACAAGAAAACGACAGCAGATTGAAATTGTAATTGGAGATTATCAGGAACCATTCCGAGTTGTAACGATTTTGCCGCTACAATCGTTACAACGTAGAACCCGAGAAAAAGGAAGGGTATTGGGACGGCGTGTCGAGCCTTTCGGATAGAAATAGGAGTGCTATTTCCCCGATTCCAGAATCCGGAGGGGTTTCGGGCTCAGAACTCAAACTGTTTTATAAAAACTTTTAGCTTCCTGGTCATGCCCTGAGTTGACTTTAAGTAACATCCAAATTCATTTTCAGAGAATGAGAAGCTAGGAGTGAGGGAAAGGGTTGATCCATCTTCGATGGAGATGATGATTTTTATCTACTGAGCAAAAACAAACAATAGTAATATAATAATTAGTAGTAGCCCTGTTTTTAGGAGTGACCTCGTGGTCTGGGGATACTGAGACCCAGCCATGAGCTCACTATTTTTGCCTATAATTAAGTTAATTTGAACGTTCTAGTCGAAGCCTGAAAGCAGTAACGTTTTGTCGACCCGATGTTAGGAAAACCACCAAAAGAACTGGCTTTGGCAGAGACGGTGAAAAGCATGTAGAGCTGTGTTTAGACGCTAGCCAGTCATTTCAGAAGCTAGCTTTATTTTCCGTCGATATGTACTTCCGGGCGAATGATACATTTTCCTCATCTTGATGGCGCGGCGTCAGGGTAAAAAAAGGAAATTTGACTGGACGCAATGTAACTGAACTAACCGATAATAACAGGATTGGATTTTTATAGATGAAGAAAAAACTATTACAAATTTAATTTAAAAAAATATATAAAGAAATCTACAAAACTCGCTGAATAGGAACAACTTCACCCGAGCTCAGAAGATCCAGCGGCGCACTACAAGACTCCCAAGGCCAGGAACTCCTTCCCCAGATCAGAGACCTACTTGACAGACCTGTCTCTAAAATCCCTCAGTGGGGTCTCGACAAGCAGGCAGAAACATCAAACAGATCTTATCTATTTAATAAGTTTATCGCAACAATTAGGAGCACAACTATAGTCTCCTCAGACACGCTATTCAGGACTTTCCCCAGACCAGATACAGTTGACAGACTTGTCTCTTAAATCTCTCAAAGGGCGCCGGCAAACAGGCACAATCATCAAACATAGCAAAATAAATCGCTTCTGTTTAAATGTCGCAGTTTTGAAGCATCTTCAGTTTTAAAACTCAAGTTTCATGATGGCTAACTTTGGATAAAGGCTTCTGGATCTTTGAGGCCTGAGCAATCAATCCGCAGGAATGACTGTTCTGATATAAAAATTTGTTTCTTCATGTTTGATGCTGCCACGCTTTTTTTATTAGCAGAAACTATGGATAACGGAACTCTTAAACAAAAAATTTAATCCACAAACAGACTTTTTATCATATATCATTATTCCAAAAACTCTTGCAATTTTTTTTCCCGAAGAGCCGAAATTTAGTTAAAACTATTTTTCATCCTCAGATACCATTGTTGATTGTTTACGTATGCTGAATTTGCTGAACTAGGTTACGTCATGCAAAAACTTGTCAACGTTTTATCCCTTATGCTTTGAATGTGTGTCGAAGCTAAGGTTATGTAACATTGAACAAGCGAAACAGACAAAACTGATCAACAATAATTCGATTAGAATTTTCCTTCAATAATGTTGCGCATGGTTTAAAAGTTAAGTTTGAGTTCATTTATTTTTTTTTCAGAGGAAAACCACTGTAACCAATCTCACAATGAAACCAGATCATAAACTCATCCAAAGCTCATTTGATAGAAGGTAAGCATTCTTCTAGGTTCAGTTACAGATCCGCTATTCAAAAAAATGTTTGCTCATCATGTAAAGATTAATCGGGTATTTTTTTTCAGCTTGCCGAAGTTTTCTCAAAGCCATCCAATAATTCCCAGGCTCTATGAACCTGCTTGGAGACATGATATGAAGAATCGCGAACTGATTCTCCAGGTGAGTTTTGAAGCTATCTTGGCTAAAATAGATAACAGCTCAAATAAGGAATGAGCGATCAAATCATTTTCAAAAATTTATTTTATAATATTTTGCTCGCTATGTTTCAACCAAATCATAAATGAGCAAAAAATTACGAAAAAGACCTCTAATAAAAAACTGCCGAACGTTTTACAAACTGCCGAACGTTTACGACGGAAGAAATATTTAATGCATTTTGTTGTCCTTCCTGAACATTTCGAGAAATGAAGAAAATATGCCCATTCTCTTTTGCTTGAAGTTGCGTTGAGGTAAGTCGAAAAATATGGTTAAGCAAACTGTTAATATCAAACATCATATCAAATATGTAGAAGTAAAAATAATTTTTTGATACATCAGTTTTCTTAAAAATCAGCTCACTGTACAATGTGTTATTATTTTGTTAGAATGCCGACGGTTCTGGGATACCTAATGCCCATGGCCCCCATAACACCACCTTGTACCTGGAGAAGAGAGAGCGTTTGAATGAAATAGAATGGCAAGAGAGGGTGGAGTCCAAAAGACCGTATGTGGTTAGGAGGTGCGAGGCACTCAGACCACCTCTGCACGACCCATTTTCAAGGTATCATCTTCACCATCACGAGTCAAATTTCTATAGACTTTTCTCTTGCCCAAGAATTTTGGAATTTTTAATTTAAATTATAGAGTTTTTACTTTTCAAGAAATTTTTTATTTGTACAGCCAAGTGAACATAAAACGCAGCCTAGCTTAAGTATCTGATAGACCCGTAGCGTCACTATATCAGGTCACTCTTTGAGATTTTTTCAACTCCGATTTCTTCTGTGCAGGTGTAAGTGTTCTCAATCTGGTTGACTTGATTTCAACCAACCCCACTTTCTTTACTTGCTCTCAAAGTATATTATGAGTATCTCCCCGTAAATAATTGTAACAGTTCGGCTCTCATAATTTGTCGGATCTTCAGTGAGAGAAGCTGCAAAATGAATCACACATTTTTTTGCTACCTACTATCGTTCTGATAATGGTAAATATGCTTATGATACTTCAGAAAATGCAAAAATATTCCACAGAAAAAAAATCAACCCGACAAAAACAAAGGGGTATTTAAACACCATCACTGTCTTTTATGACTTTTACTTGATGAATATTCGAGTTCAACAGAGGGCTGCCCCTCCCCCTATCTTTGAATATTTGAACTCAAAACTGTGAGAAACAAGCGTTCAGTAATTTAAGTTTATTATTTTTATTTTTTTTTGCTGTGACTTCGAGGTTTTGTTGTTTTTTTTCCAACGTATACCGTTTGATTCGCTTTTTTGGGTTTCGACTATTCGATTCGGTATACATCACTATTATATTTTTTTGGTTGACTTTTTTGGACGTCTATGCTTTTTCTCAGTGTTTCAGCGTGTTTTTTCCAGGTACAAGGCTGGGCTGATGTACCGATTGGATGACCCCAAAGATCAAACCGAGGTCCCAGTTGACCCTGACTGCTACTGCAATAGGAAATGAGACAGAAATGAAATTTCATTTAACTACCCGAGCAAACTGAATCAAACAAAATATCCTGTTCGATGCTTAATGTGCTCTAAAACTGAGGAAGATTTTAAATTTAGAGCTGAGCTTGAAATATAATTGAGTGCGAAGTTGAAAATTTTACCATGTTAATATTTGAGTTGAAAAATTGTGCATTTGGAAAAAATTTGCATGCAAAAAGTGCATTTCAATATTCAGGCAGAGTTAGTGTCTCAAGGTTGTCTGGAACTCCATGTAAAACTCTCAAAAAAGTTAGTCTTTGATAAGTTCAGTCTGTTCTTTTTGTTGCAATTTTCTTTACCATTGGATCACATGAAAGAAAAAATTAGCTGAACAAAAAGCATTTTTCTAAATCAATCCAGTCCTGACTTTCATTCATTATGCTATTAAAGCAATTGTTGCATGAAAAAACATCGCTAATGGCAGAAGAAAAAGAAAAATGCCAGATTTTGTGCCTCAACTGTTGTAACTTGCAAAAAAATGTGTTGAAACTTAAGGCAATCTGAAACTTATGCTTCCTTGAAGGTGATTGCTGACAATGTTAGTTGTGCAGTTTCTGCAGTTTGGTAAGCACGAAAGAATGCTTTGAATTATGATCTTCAAGCCGAGTTTGAAATCTGGTTTTCTGTGCACTTATTTTTTCGATCACACTTAAAGCAGTAAGGAACTGTGACCTATGGTGAGCTTTTATTTTCAGGCAATTTCAGTTGTTTTAAGGAGATTTCGCAAGCAATTGCGTGTGATTTCTAACAAAGCTCCTTCCAGCCGTGGCTTGGATTTGTAATAGTTAAAAGCTGAGAACAACTAGCTACTATCAAGAGACTTATGGTAGCTTTTTCAGTGTCGAGAAAGATTAGTGCGAATATTTCCTTTTTTTGCTGACAATTCGCTCCTCAGTTAGACATTTATCTCTTTAATTGTTCCGGTCTTTGAAAATGGGGAAAAACTTAGTCTTCGGCTTTGTTTTAGTTTTTTTTTTCGTTTTCCATGCAAAATCACAAAATCAGTTACCACAAAATCAGTTATATATCATTTTAAAGCCCTTAAGTCGTAATTCGAACAGTCGATAAAAACTGGTTTGAAATAATTAATTTTAATCTAATTCCATGCGAATAAAGAGATTTTATCAGGCTAATTATATTAAGACTTAATAATTTTATAAGACTATTATTATGAATCAAGTTAAACCTTAAAGATTTAATTTCACCGTGGCAAAATTAGTGTTCGAAATTTCTTGTAGCACCTTTTTGGGAAAACAGTTTTTAAAAATTTGATTTTTTGTTGAATTTTTTGATTTTTCATTTTTTTAATTAATTTTTTAAGGAAATTTGGTTGACTACTCAGCTTTGAAAGCCGCATATAAATTGAGAGTTTTTTGGTATCAGTTGTTTAGAAATCATTGGAAAGAAATTAAGAACAACTCTGAAGAAAACTGTCTTGCCAGTTCGATATTTTGCAATTTCGTGTGACCTGAACAGTCGTAGCTAGTGAAACAACGCCTGACTTCTGGCTCCTTTTTTGCTAGGTTTACAATTTTTCAAATAATCAGTGAATAGATTGTTTACTTGGCTCTGATTAAACTCAAATCAATTTATGTTTCTGGCCTAGAGGTAACGCCTTTTCTCGGTTCGGCAACAACGAGGAAAACTCAAGTCCAAGCACTACTTGAAGGTTTTCGCGCGCTGAAATTTTTCTGCCCACTTTTGGACTTTGTGTGGCTGCTCAATTTTGACGGCTTAATTTGTGGAGCACTATTTAGAGCTAAAAAATATAAGCTACGCTCACTAAGAGTACACAAATACTGTATGATTACTTGCCCCTTAGCTTTTTTGTTTCGGTATAAAAATTGTCCTGGTTTATCTGTCTCTTGAAATTTCCTTTGAGCTGGGAATTTTGTGAAGTTTTCTTTCAATTTTTTCACTCTACTTTGACAAAGTGTAGTTGGTCTTGTTTTTTTCAGCCATGCAATGTTTGTTTTACATCGCAGGTGGTTTGAAGCTCCGTTTTGCTTCTGTACTAAATTCGTCCTCTCTCGTACTTTAATTGAAAACAGTTAAAAATGCCATGTGTATAACAGCGCATTTGAATTATTGCAACAAAAACCAGCGAAACTTGAAACTTTTTTTTCTCAGAATGGTTAAATTAATGACAAAAACTATTAATGAACACGAATAACTCCGAATATTATCATCTGAAGATTTTTTAAGTGTAATGAACGTAACAAAACCTCTTATATAAGTATTGCTGATTTTTTTTTATAGAAAAAACTTTTGAATTGTCCATAAAAGTCTCTAATAACTACAGATGTGCACTCATACATATTGATGCATTTATGAATTCACATAGGTATATATGCACTTTTTGAGTTGAATTGAAATTCATCTGCTGAAGGTAACGCAAGTAGCACTCTCCAAATGCGAATGTGGAAATGGCGCAAAAAACGTTTTGATTTCTAGTTTCGAAAGTGGAAATTTTAAGACTTCCAGCGGAATAAAAACTTTACCTGTTGATCCAGTTTTCTCAAGTTGGATTAATGTTATCAAAAAAGCGCCACTCATAATTCGTTTTAGAAATCCAAAGAACACAAAGGGCATCTATTTTTTTTTGAAAATCGAAAGTTTATTCGACAAAGTCAGTGTTTTTTGATGTTTACTTGCGTTCATTACTCTTTTCCAATCTTCGATTGGCAATGTTTGGTTGTGATAAACTTGGAAGCGAGTTTCATATATAAAAGACGTGTTTTTGATTGGAGTCAGTTCGTTAAATTTCCCAGTTACTTTTTGAGCAGTATAAAAAGAAATTTTAAAAAATAAGACTGTATTTTGTTTAAAAAGTTTTAAATAAAAACCTTTTTTTTATTAAAAAAACTTGAATTTTTTTAAAGGCTATGGTCGGAACAATCTGTGCTATTTGCACAGTAATCGGCTATCCTTGTGATTGCTTGTTAACAAATCACCCCTCTGTACTCTTTAAATCTAGCGGTAATGTGACAAACTTGCAGTCTTTTTCACGCTCACGCTCATTTACAAAATGCAATTATGTTTTTCTGACATCCACATTTTTTTACCGAAAGAACAAAGTAGATAGTAGAATTGTTTTCAAATGGGCGTTTTTGGTACCTGCTGAACAAAAGAAAATATCAATGCCCTCGTAAAATCTGATGGTATCTTGGTTTCCAATTAATATGATTTTTTATTATTAAATTTATCTTCGGAATTGAACTACATGGGAAATATTCATTCTCAATTTGATTTTTTGGACCCTTTTTGGTTGTAGAATTAGTTGTGACGGCAGCTCGCATATCAAATTGACTATCTCGATAGTGAATTGATATCAAAAAAATAGCCAACCGAATTTTGGCGGAAGATCTGTGCGGATTTTGAAGGTCGCTAAGGATGTCAATTCGAAGATTTTCACTTCAAAGGGGGGAGGGGGGGGGGGGGGGGGAGGATGTTAACTTGATCCGATCATAATTCCGTCCGTCTTTTTGGCAAGCTATCACTTCGGTGCAATTTTCCTTCAACGTTTGAATACCTTTATCAACCTTTCACAAAATCAGCAAAATTTGGAAACAAAAATTTTGTTTGCAAAGAAAATTTTGATCCATTTTGCGCTGCAGCCGGCAATCGTTAGTTGTGTTCTTTTGTCATTAGAAGATGTATGAGACTGCTTTATTTCCAAAAAATTTGACAGATTGATTGTTCTCTGTGGTATTTTAAGGACCGCTTTTTTCATTAAGCATTTTCGAACAGAACTTTGAAAGGTAGATCACTTGCAAAATTAATGACGTAAGGAGCTCATATTTCAAACGCTATTTCATTGCGATCTTTTTTGTAAGTTATAGGTCGGATCAATTACCGCGCTTTATACTCCGTGCTGTTAGGTTGTAGGCGGCTATTTAACCCGGCTCAAGAACTGCAAATTTAATTGAGTTTAGACTTAGTTATATGATTATCTTATTGTATGTGATGATATCCCTCACTAGAGTTTAATGAGTAACAAGATTGCTCGTATCAGGGCGAAGCCCTGATTGTTCCGACTGCCTTTTAGAGGTTATGGATCAGTAATAACATTTGAAAAATTAAATGAAATAAAACAAAATGAATTAAAAAAAAAAAAACTTGAGATTTTTTGCAGAAATCATCACACCTCACGCCATATAGAGTACAAAAAAATAGATTTTGCTGATTGTATGACTAGCATTTTTCCATAAACCAAAATTGTTTATTTTTTACACTTTATTTTGACCATAGGACCTCCTCTGGCCATGAATTTTTGGTTTAGCTTCGCTCGAAATACAAATGGCAAACCTCTATCCGGGTCAATGGTTTGAAAAGCAGTGTACTGCTGAACTGTTTACAATGACCGCAAACGCACACCCTGGTTATATAATTGTTGTTTTCTATTACTTTGTTCCGACTGCCTTTTAGAGGTTATGGAGCAGTAATAACATTTGAAAAATTAAATGAAATAAAACAAAATGAATTAAAAAAAAAAAACTTGAGATTTTTTGCAGAAATCATCACACCTCACGCCATATAGAATACAAAAGAATAGATTTCGCTGATTGTATGACTAGCATTTTTCCATAAACCAAAATTATTTATTTTTTACACTTTATTTTCTCAAAATTTTTTCGTTGTGTTCGTAAACGAGCACAAATGATATAAACATTGGTTACTCAAACGTAGTAAGCAAAAGTTTGGCCGTCTTGAATTAAAAATGCATTGGAAATGTGTTAATCCTGTCTCACACAAATAATATCACGAAAATAACGAACTCAAAGATGATAATTTCTAAAATTTGAATTTGAATTTTACCAAACATTGATCAAGGCATACAAAAACATGTCATAAAAAAGAAAGAGAAGCATGTCATAAAAAAGAAAGAGAAAAATTTTGGAGGCAATTTCAAAAATATTTTGAAAACCTTTTGTCGTCGCCATCAAAATAATGCTAGTTATACATTTTCCATATAAGGAAATTGTATGATTAGCATTTTTTTGACAAAAAGTTTTTTTCTTTCAATTAGTACGATACACCGAGTTTTATGCCACAACAAGAGTAAAGTTTTTCGAAAAGTCGACGACACCATTTTAGCAAAATGTATGAAAATTGTATGGCAAGTATTTTTTCACAGACTTAGTTTATGGATTTGTATGATTAGCATTTTTGGTCTATGGAGGTCAACCCGGGTAATTGACCCGAATTGGCAATTTTTAAACCCCTATAACTTTACGAAAAATGATCACAGGTGAAATATCTTTTCAAATTTAAGCTCAAGACAACAATAGTTTTTGAATGATAAAAAAATTCCGTCAAAAATAGCTAGTTAAGAAGTCTAAATTTGTCTGAAGAAAAAAACACCCACCCCGAGCAAAAATATTCCGTTACTTTCGTATCGAAAGTCGGAACAATAATCGATTACATTGTGTTTCCATTGTTAGTCTATAAAATTACCGAAAAAATAGAATATAATCTATTAAAATGGATAATAATTATATTATTTTTCTGAACAACAAAACCTTTTTTGATCAATTACAATCGCTTATAATCGATTTTTTTTTGCAAATACTTGACTTTTCTTTTGGTTGAGACATAATTCTTTTCCATCAATTTTAATCAAAAACTTT